CCTGTAGTCAGCCCCTGGTCAGTTTCAGCAGCAGTGGCTGAATCTGGAGCCAGTTCTGACTTACATACAGATTCAACTTAAGAACAAACCTACAGTCCCTATCTTGTACGTAACCCGGGGACTGCCTGTACTCAATGTGCTTTCCCCTGCCTCCACCAGGGCGGCGCCAGGTTCCAGGACCCAAGTGGCCCTTGAAGGGCGACTCCAGATCTTCCTTGCCCTTGCAGGGGAGAGGCGACCGACCTCTGCCCATTAGGAGGCTGGAGAGCAAAGAACAATCGGGGAAGGGCCAGAGTTGGGGTGAGGAAATCGCCCCCCCCAAGCAACCCTACAATAATAAACAGCCTGGGACAACACGGAGAAGGTGGTTGGCCTCATGTTTTGTGGTGCTGGGACCCCGCTGCTCCCCCTCAGCTACAGATCCACCCACTGCCCTACCTTCACCTCCCCTGCAGGCTCCTCTCTGCCCTTTGGGACAACATCTGCCCCCGGGGCCACATCCACCAGGCAGCTCTGTGCCAGCCCTTGGTCTGTGTCCACAGGCCCCACAGTGGCTTCTTAGCCTGCTGCCCCCACCTCCTCCAGCCCCAGAGCGGGCCCTGACTGCAGCACCAGGAAGGAGAAAACAGCTGGGGAGGGGAGTGAGGTCTACTGGTTAGAGCGGGGGCTGGGAGCCAGGACACCTGGGTTCTTTCCTGCCGAGCTGTGGGGGGGAATTGGGGTGGCCTCCTCCCAAGCCTTAATGTCTCAGTCTTAAACCCTTCCCAATCCCAAAGGCCCAATTACACCCCTCCAGCCCTTCCCAACCTGGTGTCCAGTTCCCGGTGAACCCCTCCCTGCCCCAGAGGAGCCGGGATAGAGACAACCTGCCCCCCAAGCATGGGGCTCGGCTGATTCTCATGCCATAGGAGGGTCGGGGGGGGTGTGTTCTGGGAACAAGAGAAATGGGCACTGGGGATTCACTCTGGAACCAGCAGCTTTTTGGGGGGCAGGGGGCAGATTCAGGTTCATCTCTTGGCCCCCATGGGGGACACAACAGAAAGAAAATAATTCAGGGAGACACGTCCACACTTCCAGTCCCCAGCCTGCTCCGGAGTGAGTCTGGGCTCAGCAGGGGCCTTGAGACAGAAGCGGGAGCCTCGGGCTGGGCTGGTAGGGGCTGCGGGTTGGGAGTGAGGGGCACTATCAGGACACACACACACCCCCGGTCAGGGGAGGCCCAGCCCCTCCTCCTGTCCCCTACAGTCAGTTGATTACCAGCTGCTGCTAATTGTGTCATTAAGTGGAAGGCCTTGATGACCTGGGGCTGCAGCTAATGTGGGTCATTCGATGGGCTTTTTCCATCACGCCCGCCCCCAAGCAGGGGCCCAAAAGTCCCTGGGATGGCCAAGGCTGAGCAGGGGACAGACATAGTACCAAGGGGGCCTGATCCTGCGGCCCTCCCCGAGCCAGGGAAAATGCGGGAGCCCTGGTTCCCATTCCCCCTGCTCTAACCACTAGACTTCACTCCTCCTCCTCAAGCCAAGGAGAGAACCCAGGAGTCCTGGCTCGCAGCACCCCCCGCCTCCCAAGTCAGCCTCTGGCCTCTAATGACTTCCCTGAGTCTCAATCAGCTGGGCTGTGGGCCTTAGGGGGCTGCCTGGCTCGGTACCATGTGGCTGTTAATGAAAGGAACATGCCAGGCTGGGCTTTGCGGCCAGCTGGGCATTAATCCCCGGATTTCAGCCTCTGCTGTGGGATCCCTGCACTAATGCTGACCCCCCCGCCCCCCACCGCCTGGGAAAGGCAAAGGCTGGGTGGGAACTGGCAGCTCCTAGAGGAGACAGGCCCGTGCCCCATTCCCTGCCCCTCTGCGACCCACCTGTGGCCCCATAGACCCTCCATCCCGGCCCGGCCCCGTTCCCACTTCTCACAATCCGTCCCCTGTCCTGGGGACATGGGGGGATTTATGTCTAGACCTCCCCCCCGAAACCTCTCTTCCCCACTTGGCAAGCGCCTGGGATCCTGGTCCCTCTCGGGGTGTGGGGGAGCAGCGGGGCCCCATAGGGACCTGAGCCAGCCTGATACGTGGCCACTCAGGCAGGGCCGCCAGCAGGGGGCAGTGGGGAGCTTGAGCACAGATACACACAGACACCAGGGCTAGATAATTTTGGGGGGTGCCCGGAATGGGGCCAAGCGGTCCCTGCCGTAGACCCTTCAGGGGGCATCCGTGGGGCTCAGGATGGGCCGGGGCACTAGGAGGGGCCTGGCGCTGGCAGGGGGGAGTGTCCTGGCCCCGGGCCCAGCCTGCCCGCTCTGCCCCTCCCCACCGGCTCCCAGTGTCTATTGG